CTAAGTAATAAACCTCACATGCAACACTAAATGGGGATTCATTTGTGAGCAGATGTACTTCTGTAATGCACAATTCTTGCCACTCTGTTCTTTATTTATTTATCACAACCTGACAGAAAACTGAAAAAAGTCACTGATGGATTTTGCAGTTGAGGCGTATTTTTGGGAGAACAAAAAAGAAATGAAGATGACAAGTCAGAGATAGAACAGCATGAACTGCTTTGGAAACGCAAATAATATGTATTCCAGTGTGAAAAAATGGAACCAACGTGCATCTGTGAACAAAGTTTACTGTTCCTACTAATAGGAAGGGGGTTTCTCTCTTCAGAAGAGGAGACGGGAAAAAAAACCCAACCAATCAAACTTGGAGGCTATGAAGAAAGCAGCTGAATGAATTGATGGGGAGGTGCTGTGATTGAATGGACAGGCTACTGCAATACTTGGCTATAGGAAATGGGAAATTTCAGGCAGGAATAGTAAGACAATATTACAACCAAGGGCACTGAAGCAGACTGAAGCACTGACAGAATGCTATGTCTTGTTCTGAAATGCACCACTTTTATAAGCTGTTTAAGAACACTGCAAGAATATCTCAAAATGCTGAAATATCCAAAATTCCATTTCTCACGGCAAAGGTAAAGGACAGGATGGAATTTGACCACAGTTTGAGATCTACATGGCAAATTCCACTGTGGTAATAGAGAGAGATAAAGACAGCACGCTTTGAAAGACAAGCCCTCTCCTCAGTCAATGGAATTCAAGCAACAAGTAGTTAGAGAAAGATTTTGGGCATATTTTTGATTACACATGTAATCACAATGACACCCTCTCCCCCAGCCCCCTCCACCATGTAGTGAAGTCCTCTGCCCCTTAATTTACCTAACATGTTCCAGGGATGCCACAGAAGAGGGAAAAGACAGACAGAATTCCCAACACAGATGGTTAATTGTAGCACTTGGATCACGAGAAGCAGAACAACCACTCCCTACATGGAATTCACACCCCCAAGGTCAGGGAGACCCTCAGGTCAGCTACATAAAGGGATGATATCTCCTTTTCTAGAGGGGCAGTGGCATCACCTCCAACCACATGTGGATGCAACTGTTTCACAGAATAGAGGGAGCAGGGGGAATTGTTCACTACTGTATTGCTAGAGAACTGCCTGGCTTAAAATGTTGATGAGAATGAGCCCAGAAACAAGTGACTCTTCCTCTAAATTCACACAGATATAGACTCTGGCTGACATTTCCCAATCTGATTAGCTTTCTCATTATCTCAACTTTCAAACAGTCATAGGCTCTCAACTCAAGGAAGCTGCCCTGTGAGGTTGCCTCAGTTCAAGCTCTCCAAACACACCCATCACTGTGGGAAACAAGTGACGACAGACAAGACCTAATCACAAACGGAAGGGAAGAGGGACTCCCACCAGGACAGCTGGTGGTGACGAGCACAGTCTGCTTGAAACGTCTGGGAACTTGCAACCTCCTGTCACCAGCAAGTAGTTGGGAACGGGAGCATTGGCAAGCTGAATCTTCAGCCCTGGTTGTTTGTGCACACAAGGGCATTGGCACTCTTCAAAGCAAATTGCTTCATCTGATTTTTGGAGCTCTGAGGGGAACAATGAGGGAAAGCATTAAGTTATAACTCATATTGTTTTGGTTTTATTCCTAACCCTTTCAGAAAAAAAAACCCACATTGAAGGTGGTTAGGGGAGGGAGTGTTTGAGAGGGGAGAAAATTCTGGTGATGTCAGCTCCTATTGCCATGGAAACTGAATATTTTTAGTGACAATGGAGTCTTCCTCCTTGAGCTGCTGGGTTGCAGGGACAAGCAGGGCAAGGGCACATGAGGGAATTCAGCTAACTAAAACTACAGCTTCTGGCTTTCCAAGGAAGTGAGGAAATAACTACAAATGATTGCCTGAATACATGGTTTATGTAACCAAAACACCGTCTGGGTCCTTAGCAGCAAACAGTCATTATGCTCTTTGATAAAACGTGCTGTCATGTAGCGAACCGGATCAGCTGAGACAGCTCAGGAAGGCCACAGAATGGGCCCTGCCTGCACCTCGCTTTTCCATGCTACAGTCTACTCTTTGCAACCTTTGCTGCCTTGCTGGTGTTTATTTGAAAAGGGAGAAGAGAGGAGAAAGAGCTGGGAAGTATAGCCCATGTTCTTGAAACTGAGAGAAGCTGCATAGGGCTGTAGGCTGGGCGTTGCTCCCCAACATCAGGGATGTTTCCTTAGGAGCCAAGTTTATGACCTCCCTTACAGAAAACAAGAATCCTGAATGATAAAAAGGAGAAGGTTCTTAGAGAAAACTGATTAGCCTCTGATCAGGATCTAACTCCCTGGCATGAAGAAAATGTGCAAAATCTAGGTGTCCTCCCTAAGTCAGAATGCTAAGGCAGCATCTGGACAACATGGCTTCAGTAAGCTGAAGCCGTGATCCAGGTGTGGAATCAATAAGGATAAAGGTTGAAGATTACATCTGAAGTTAAGCAAAAGCCTACAGTATGTAAGGACAAGTTAAAGCCTTGGATTTGATTTAAACAGTGCAGACAATTTTAATGAATTTCAAGGAATAATGAATTAATAACCACAAGCTTTTTTAACTTGAAATACATTATATAGTCATTAGTTCTATATAACTAAATGGAAAAATCTTTCTTTAGCAGAAGTCCTTTGAGATCATATATTCTAATGAGATTACTATCATTTCATTCTGACACCTCATGAGGACAATTGAATAAAAATCAGGAAACAATTTTCTTTTAGTTTTGGACCTGAAATAAAAAATCCTCTATGCAGATTATTTGATATCTAAGAAGTTGATTCAAAGTCTCTGGCATTGAAAGAAGTTCAGATATGAGGTTTTTTTTTCCTGGTACTGCTATCAGATGCACAAAAGACTCTGTCTCTCCTCAAATTCCTCCCAGCAATGGTGACAGAAGGAAATATGTAAGGGAGTTTGCTCCCTTCTTGTCTAGGTAGTGTGGATTTCACTTGTTTTCTGCATGAAGTATTTGAGCTCTCCCTCTTTCATTTAGTATTGCCCACTGATTTCACCATCTCTTCAGATACCACCACTCACATACCACGCTTGCAAGGACCCCAGCAGAGTAAGACCCCCAATTCCCAAACCTTTTTACCTGATACGCTGATTTTCCTGTGCCCACCTGGAGCAGTCTCCCAGCATACTGCAGCATGTCACCCACACAGAGGAGCACCATGGGCTCCAAGGTCCCCTTTTCAAACCTACCCAGCTCTTCCTCCCTCAAAGGCTGCTGTGCTAGGGTCTTGCTTTCCCTGCATCTAGTCTCCAGTGATTTTGCCACCAGGAGCTCAGGCTAGAACATGTAATGATCTGGATTTTCTCAGAACCATGTCTCAGGGACTTTATCTGACACTCCTCATGTCAGGCCATTTTAAATCAGATGTTAATCACAGCAGGCTCAGCTACAAGAAAGGTCTTCCCATCTCACATATATTGTGTTGATTTAGAAAAGCCTACAGCTTTCATCTGCCTGTCCTCCTTTCATGCACAACCTGGCCAAAAATCAGCCTTCAAATTTTTACAGCTGCACTGAGTTTGAAAATCTCTGCTCCTCCCAGAAGCAAACAATTATCTGCTCCTCCAGAGGGAATGACTTTCAAGTCTTGCAGTAGAAGAACTCTGTCAAAAGCAAATATAAAGACGGTGCTGCTCCACACCACGGGGGAAAACTCTGCAAAGTGAGCTCAAACTCACTGCTAGCTCAGTCAGTAATACATGCACTTCCAGGCAACAGTGGAGCTGGTAATTCCTGGCTAAAGAGAAGGAAAATTGAGGGCTTCTCTTTGAAAAGATGTTCACTTTTTTTTCTGTGAGATGAGCAATATAACATATTTATTTCTGAATTTATTTTTTTTTATTGTACCACAAAGTGTTCTAATTGAAAATTAGTATTCCAGGGGAAAAAAGCACATCCCCCTGGTATCAGAAATGGACTTTCTGTTGTGATTTAACAGGCAAATTCTGGTAGACTTTCCACTTGATACATGCAGAGGGGAAAATCAAAGCTTCACCATAGCAACTTTGTTGTAAAAAACCCTCAAATGTCAACTTGTCCCAGTAGTACTGCAGGAAATGTTGGTGCATTACAAAAACAAAAAGCCCTGAATAAAAAAACCCTACATTTATAAAACCTACATTTCTACCCTTGAAATCCTGCTGCTGGAAACAGAAATGCTAGCTTTAGTTTAGTTCTGGCAAAGGTTACATGATGCCTTAAGTTTTAGCTTTCATACTTTGCAGATTCTGTTCTGCGTTGGTATATAACTCTGAACTCCATATAAAGTGTTAGCAAGTTCTCTTCACAGGGGAGTTAGACAAAACAATCCTTTTCCAGCCTGAGAACCAAGGACACTGTTACAGCTTCAGGCCCAGTGAGTACAAACTACATTGAATTGAGGAGACCAATCTGGGAGGATGGGATTTCATAACCTGAAGCTGTAATTGGACAATTAACCCAAATACGTAAATGGAACAAAACTTATAGAAGTGTGAAAACTTGTGACTTGGGGTCCATCTTGGGTGTAGCCTCAGCCAGGCTCTTGTACTGCTCAAGGTGTATCCTTTGACGGCCTTTTAATAAATACCTCCTTTATTCCTTTAACACTGTCTAGCCTCTGTTCCAGGTAGCCTCACAAGGTATCATACACCTCTTCTACCCAGACATTTAAAAAACAAAAAACCCAGAAATGTTTCTGGGCAAGCTGTTCAGCTGGTACAAATTAACACTCTCTATTCAGGTTGTGCTAGACAGATGGCTGCACATCAGCAGAGGAGTTAAAACTACCTTGTCTGCTCTTTCTTCCATTGGCTGCTAACTCCAGCATGCCCAATTCCAGCTTGGCAGCTGCACCAGAGGGAAAACTTTCTCCTCAGTTACATCATTTCTTTTCCTTGCAAGACTCCAGTAAACCCAGAATAAACAAACCTAGAAATTATCAACCTACCCAGCCATGACAATGAAGAAATCCAAGCGGTTCCAGGTATCTCCAAGGTAACACTTCTTGCCAAATATCCCCAGGGCCACCATCTTCAAGACCATTTCCATGGCAAAGAAGATGAAGATGAAATCATCAAACACCTGCCAAACAGAAATCCAAGAGCATATTTGACAAGCATTCTCAGCCTTGGACTTTAAAACACAGAATGTGAGAAAAATACTAAATTCAGTACTCCTGAAAATGAGATAGAGGCAGGGCTGGAAAAGTTTCCTTCATGTAGCCCTGGCATCACAGTTTCTTGCTGCTCAAGTTCAATGAAGACTTTTATAGTTTTTTCACCCACAGGTGAAGTAACTGATGCAGACTCAGAGACTCCTTACATAGACTTGAAAAGTGGTGTTGTTTCAGCACCAGCAGATCTAAACCTGGCCAGAAAAACACTGTTTTTCCAACATCCCATGAGGAACTCCTCATCACATTGCTGCAAATGGCTCAGCTGAGGACATAGTGCAGCTTTCCACACAGCTTGGACAGCACACACCCATCACAGAGAGAAGCTTCAGATACCTGAAGGCCTTAGCCACAACCACACAGTGCATGACACCCTTTGCTGTCACCTTCTCTTTGGGGAAGCATCAAGCACAGCTGGTGTGTTTACAGTGTGGATGTACTCTTGGCCCTTCTAAGCATTCTTTTTATTTCCTCTCCCTTTGGGCATCCTGAATGCCACAGTATCTGTTGAATAGGTAATAGTCTTGTACATCACCAGACTACCAAATGCATTGGAGGCTGCTGTTCTCTCCTGCCTGGATTGTGTAACCTTAGTTATTTCTCCCTGGCTTAACCCTGACCTATGTGTCTTGTAGATATCTGTGTCAGAAAACCCCTGCTTATGTGCTAGGTTCAGAAATATCAGCAAGTGTTCAGTATTGCACAGTCACAAGTAAAGTTCATTCATTCTCTCATCCCATTCCCCTCCTCAAAGCAAGCTCTTGCCATTTTACAGCAGGACAGCTCGCTGCCAGGGATAATCTTGCCAGCCTCTCTGGGAAGGTATAGCCCACACGCTGGAGGAAAGCACGCATGAAAATTTGTGACTTGGACTGAAGCACCATCACAACAAGAAGGAAATCTGCTTACCTGCAAGATTTTACACCTGTCAGAAAGGCAGTCCATATCCTCACATGGCTGGTACATTCCCAGGGTAACACAGTTTAGCAAAATCACCATCATGCTGACACACTCGAACCAGGTAGAAAAGAGTTAAGGAAAACTTCTGCAAAAGCATCATGGCTGAGATAAGTTTGCTCTAAGCTTGAAGTAACAAAATAGGAAGATTAAGGGAAAGAGGTGCTAGTAGGCTGATTTATTACATTCCCACATTCTCTGCACTCAGTTTATCACTACTCCATTCCTTGATTAAGCCAAAACTCTTTTGTAAAAGGGAAAGCAGAGGTAGCATAAAAGGCCTAAAATACTTACACAAGTCAAATCACTGCCATAGTCAAATACATGCTTGCTCCTCTCCTTTTGGTCTGCTTCCCTCATTGGTTTACTGAATCTTCCAAATACATGGAAGAGACTTTCCAAAGTGGCCTCTACCTAAATGCATCAGAGATCTCCAGTATCTAGGGATCTAAATCAAAATGGGCAGATTTATCTCTACGTGGTTATTGCCCTTCTACGAAGGGAGTACAAGATGAGGCTAGAACTCTCCTTTGTCCCCTCTCAGAGAAACTTGGGGGTAAAGAAGTGCCACTGGTCCCCCTAACCTGTTACTATGCTTCCAGCAGTGACCTAGGCTGTATAGAGCTCCACAACATGCCCAAGTTACTCAGTAACGATGAGAATGGAGAAATTGTGTTTCTGACCCCAGCTGGTGATCTTTTTATGCCCTAAAGCATGAGGATTGATAGTCCTTACAATTGTTTTCTCAGCTACACTGATGACCCTGCAGATGCCTTTCTTATTCATTTGAATCCTTTGTTGATAATCTTGTTAAAATATCTGCTTTGATAATAGTTGGCAGCCCTGAGCTACATTGGCTAATTATACTTTACATTCAAAAGTGTTCCCTCCTATTTATTATTAATTTGTTGTCTTATAATTTCATCAAGTGCCACTTCATTTATGTATTAGAGAAGTGGATAAAAATGGTGTATTTGTGTGACCTTTGTACTCTACACACTCTAGCTTCCCCCTCTCACCATCCCTCTCCTCCTGAAGGAGTTTTAAAGCCTGATAAATGCTTATCCAAGAACTCATTTACTGTATTTTAGCTCTAAAAGTGGGTGCATTTATGCAATACTTTCCAGTGTTCCCATTGTAAAGCAGTGATATAGAGTGAATAGACCTCCAGCCTCTGGCAGAAACATTCTTGGGCATGTTACACACCTCACAAGAACATATCTGCCCAGTTTCCACTGTCTGACAGTTTTATCTTCTTTTATATAGAAGAGGCACAAAATTATCTACTTAAAATACAACCCACTGAGCGCATCCACTTTAAGTCCTTTCAGTACTGAATCTAAAAGTGTGGCCTGTATCTCTGATCACTTCTGAAAGACACTCAGCTTCTGTGGTTTGTTCTGAGCAACTCTTCCATGCTCATTCTCTGACAGTGATTTATGACTAAACTGCACAATCTGATCTAGAAGATTATTAATTCTCTCTCTTCTCCCCCACCTGGTTTGTGGTGAGCTACCTTCAGTTGCAAAATCAGACAAGAGCAGGGCGCTAGTCCTACTGTTCCCAATTATGCTCTGAGGTGATTTCAAGAATGTGTTATCACTGTCTCTCACAAAGTTAATCCCATGTACTCTACAAAGTAATGCACATAAAGCCCACCCTCAATGTAGGCTTTGAAACCAGACCCCTTTTCTGAGAGGAATGCACCAAAAGGAAAAGAAAACTGTTTTCACTCAGGGTCTATGCAATGCAATTTCAATTTTCCACCTTCCTCTCTCTTGCACATTTCTTTAATGATCAGATCTGAAGCCCAGGAAAGCCATTTGAGAGGTTTCCACTAGCTCACACAGGGCTCTCAGATAAGACTGCAGTTCTTTTCTGGACCCTTCAAAATCTGTTTGTGTCACCACTCTGTTACAGAACCACAGAATGGTTGATGTTGGTAGGGCCTCTGGAGGTCATCTTGTCCACCTCCCCTGCTCAAAGTAGCATCAGCTACAGCAGATTGCTCAGGGCTGCATCCACTTGGGGTTTGAATATCTTCAGGTACAGAGGCACCAGGACCTCCCTGGACAACCTCCTCCAGAATTTGACTATTTACACAGAAGATAAGTGTTTTCTTAAGTTTTAATAGGACATATCCCACTTTTCAGGCTGTGACCATTACCTCTTGCCCTGTCACTGGGCATCACTGAGCAGTCTGTGTCCTTTACTCCTCCTACCAAGTATCGATACACATGGCTAAGAGCTCCCTAAACCATTTCTGCTCCAGGCTGGTCAGCCCCAGCTCTCTCAGCCTTTCCATTTTGCAACAGGTGCTTTGACAGTTACTGGAAAGGCAGCACCAGTGAAGCCCTGGTAGAAGGATCAGTGCTGAATGATACTCTTCAAGGGGCCAAAACAGTTCCAGACCAGGCTGAGCCAATGCTTGCAAAAGTTGTTCTCCCTGGGCATAAGGGGGTCAGAAGATACATAGCAAAAAAACCAGGGCTTCAAACATCCCTGGATTAAATTAATGCATGACAAATGAAAAGCAGAAATTGTTTTTAAAATCCAGTTAGCATTTTTTTTTCCCCAGAAAGCATAACACAAGACAGCTGTAGGCAGAGCTCTGAATACAGCCAAACTCAGGAAAGTTAGGAGTTTTTACCTAACACAGATCTAGACCTCTATACACGTGCTTTGGTAGCAGCAATGCCAGGGCAGCTCACTTCCATGTTCCTCTCACTGCCTTTGCAGTGTCCCCCACAAGGCCATGGCAGGGTGCTGTCAGCATCTGGTGAGACCCTGAAGCACAAGACCTGACAAGCCATGGCAAGCCCTCACAAAATCTTGAAACTTAGACCAGATGTGCAATCTCATCTTCCTGCTCAAAATGCTACGGCCAGTTGCAGATGATTTCTTCTCCCCTGCTTTTTAGATGTCAGCTCTCAAAGTTTGCCAGCATTGTCCAGGCTTCCCAAGAATATTACAGAACTGCTGGCCATTCCCAGGCTATTACAGTGACATTAGAAAAAGCCACTGCTCCACGGTTTTCCTTTCAGAGCAGCTGGAAATGCTGAAAAAGCACATCAAACCTGCAGCAGAACACAAGAAAGTGCAAGGAGAAAACCAGAGCATCTCCTATCCTGAATCAGGAGGGGTTGCTGCCTGCTTGGGTCGGTGGAGGGGGTAATTAGGACTATCTGCCTTCAATGTGTCACCATTGTCAACCACAGCTACTGCCTTCTGTCACCACAGCAACAGCCTGCAGCCAGGTTTATCATCTTCCTTTTGGTGATGCCTCCCCTCTCCCACATCCCTCACCCCCCTCCTTTTCCCTGTGCCTGAGCCTGTAATTAATTGCAGCTGCTGACAAAGCCAGTCTTCATAATCTGCATCATTCAGTCAGAAGTTTCATTATTAATTAACTTCTTTCAAAGTTTAAATCTCCTAATTACAAGCAAACCCATGCACATGTTCTCCCCGCCCCACTCCAGCCCTTCCTCACTGCTTCTCTCCCTTCCCACAACCTCGTTCCCAATGTCTTTCCCAGTGAGTTTTGGGGCCTGGAAATGGTTTGGAAAACTAAAAGGAGATCCACACAATTTCTGCCCATGGTCAGCTTCTCTCCTTGGCCACCACAAGGTGCTTCAGAGGAAGGTACCAGAAAATTCACAGCAATCCACTATGTAATAAGTTGCCCTTAAAGGGAGGGTTTTTTTCCCCACTAACTGTGACAGTTCACAGTTGATTCAAACTGTTTCAGATAAAAGGACCATGGCCCTCAATTGAAAAAAAGAAATACAGCAAAAGAGAAGTATGTCCTGGGTTAATCACAGAATATTCTCAGTTGGGAGGATCCACAAGGATCATGGAGTAACCATGGGCTGGTCTCATTGTCCACGTAAGTCTCTCCTCCTTAAAAAAGTTCTGTTCATTTCAGCACTGTCTGGAGATATCAAGATCCATATCTAGATTAACTATATTTTGTCTAAAAAACTTCTACTGGAGCTCAGATGGTACCTGCCTGTGGCAGCAAGATTTTCTTTGCTGCTGGGTGCCAACTCTGTCCTTCTGCACTCCAAGCAGGGCCTGGCCAGAGACAGCCACTGTCGATCTATTGGCCCTCCATGGTGTCTTCCTATGGACAGGGCAACTCTGGGATGAGGATGTTTTACAGGGACTTGCATCACACACCATGAGAGACCTGTCATTCACCTCAAACCACCTGGGATGTACTGGGAGCCACAAGCTGCAGGATAGTTAAGGAGATAGGCAGATGTTTCTGGGACATGTTTTGTGTAAATGCTTCATAACACAACTGTGCATAATGGAAGATGATGTTAGAAACAGGTGATGGGAGACAGGCAAAGCTTTTGGGCTCAATTTCTGAATGACAAATAGCAGAAGAAATGTCTGCTGTGCTGGATCTGTAAATACCTTGCACCTAAAAAGCTGAGTACCACTTAAGGTTCTTGGGATTGACCTTAATCTCTGTTTTCTATCACTGACAAAAACACAACCGAACAAAATAAAACAGTGCTTTTAGGTCCCCTCTCCTCTTCCTCCATCATCAGCTGCAGAGGTACAAGTAGCTCCCCAGAGGCTGGCACTCCTAACAGCACAGAAAATATATAAGCTTTATAAACATGACAATCCCTCAGTGTTTCCTGCTGCTATTTCCAAACTACACCTCGGGTATGCCTTGTGTCAGTTAAAGTCTTGAATGTCTCAGACCTGTTCAACATGCAGAGAAATGCCTGACCACAAAGCAGCAAGGGGGGAGAGCCTGACAGCCCTGTGGTACGGCTGGTCATGGCAGAACCTGTTCCTGCCCCAAATGGAAAGAAGAACAGCTCAGGGACTAAAGTGAAAACACAGAGCCCACATGCAATGCATCCCAAACACCAGCCAGCCCTCATACAACTCCTTGTGGCCTCCCACCTCTGTGCTGCTGCCAGGGGGGCTCTCCTGAAGACACACTGCATCACATCTGCATCTGCATGAGCACTCCTCTCTGCTTCCCCTTTGGGCTCCTCCCCACCTACCACTCATCCCACATTCCTTCCCACCAGCTAAATG